CACATCAAGCAGATGTTCACCTGCACATCTGCTAATGTGGTATACTGCATCCGCTGTACCCAGTGTGGCTTCCTCTACATCAGGGAAACCAAGCGGAGGCTCGGGGACCGCTTTGCAGAACACCTACGCTCGATTCGCAATAAACAACTGCACCTCCCAGTCACGAACCATTTCAACTCCCCCTCCCATTCCTCAGACGACATGCCCATCCTGGGCCTCCTGCAGTGCCACAACGATGCCACCCGAAGGTTGCAGGAACAGCAACTCATATTCCGCTTGGGAACCCTGCAGCCCAATGGTATCAATGTGGATTTCACAAGTTTCAAAATCTCCCCACCCCCTACCGCATCCCAAAAACAGTCCAGCTCGTCCCTGCCTCCCTAACCTGTTCTTCCTCCTACCTATCCCCTCCTCCCACCTCAAGCCGCACCTCCATCTCCTACCGACCAACCTCATCCCGCCCCCTTGACCTGTCCGTCCTCCCTGGACTGACCTATCCCCTCCCTAACTCCCCACCTACACTCACCTTTACTGGCCCCATCCCCGCCTCTTCGACCTGTTTGTTTCCTCTCCACCTATCCTCTCCTCTATCCATCTTCTATCCGCCTCCCACTCTCTTCCTATTTATTTCAGAACCCCCTTCCCCTCCCCCTTTTCTGATGAAGGGTCTAGGCCCGAAACATCAGCCTCTCTGCTCCTATGATGCTGCTTGGCCTGCTGTGTTCATCCAGCCCTGCACCTTGTTGTCTCCATTCAAAACTGCTTTGCTTTCTCTATACTCTGTCTTGCAGTTACACCAGAGAGGATGAGATATAAATAGACTTAAATATTTTTAAAACCCTCTTTTTAAAACAATATTTCCCACTTCTTTGAGTCTGCTCTGAATTATATAGCCATGTGTATTCAATAGCGTATGTAGCCAAGACTGAGTACATCAGTCAAATAAAATGTTATTATACCGGGGCCAAAAACATAAAGATCATCAGGGCCTGTTGCATAGAAAAAGCTTGTATTTCCTTGAGCATAGAAAATTAAGGGGCGATCTATCTCCGGCATTTAGAATGATCAAACAATTTGACAGAGTAGACAGAAAGGAACTATTTCCCCTAGTGGGAGAAACCAGAACAAGGGAGCATAGTTTTAAAATTACAGCGAAGCCATTCAGTGATGATGTCAGGAAACATAGCTGCGCACAAATCAAGGTCAAAATTGGAACGGTCTCCCTCAAAATGCTGTTCAGCTGATGTCAATTGAAACTTTCAACGTGTAGGTTGTTTTATTTTTAAGGAAGAGTATAACAATTATGGAACTAAGTTGGATAAATGGATTTATTTTTCACTGGAGTGTACGTGGTTGAGGGGTGACTTTATAGAGGTTTATAAAGTCATGAGGGGCATAGATAAGGTGAATAGCAAGAGTCTTTACCCTAGGGTAGGGGAGCTCTAAACTAGAGGGCATTTTTTTTTAAGGTGAGAGGAGAAAGATTTAAAAAGGGACCTGAGGAGTAACTTTGTCATAAAAAGGGTGGTTCATATGTGGAATGAACAGCCAGAGGAAGTGGTAGATGTAGGTACATTTAAAAGACATTCGGATAGGTACATGAATAAGAAAGATTTAGAAGGATATGGGCTGAATGCAAGCAAATGGGACTAGTTTGGGAACTTGGTTGACATGGGTGAGTTAGATCAAAGTGTCCATTTCCGTGCTGTATGACAAACATTTATGATCTGATTGGATGGTAGAATGGGCTCAAAGATTTGAATAGCTTATCCCTTTCCCTCCATTTCTCATGGAGGCAGCACATATATGGTGGAATGCCGCAGCAGCGTTGCTCTCTGCTACCTTGCTTTCTGGTTAATTACCACTCTGAGCTATACCGAGTGGAAAACAATTGAATAAAAGCTGTAATATCTATAGCTCAACAGCTTTAAAGCACTTTGAGATAACCACAAGTTGCATCTCACTGAGACAATGCTAAATTATTTAGGAAATATTTCAATGGTTTAGCTGTTAGTTTACTATTTATAAAATTATATTTCCATTTGAGAAACCTCTTGAAAACTATGATAATTAAATGAACTTTCCCAGACTTATCACAAGTTAAGGTACCAGAAACACCAAGTTGGAATATTATGCATCATCACACCCACATGATATCAGGCACATGGCCCATGTTTTATTGATGTGCAAGGCACTGCTGCCAATGTCTTGGGGTCATACAGAATTTACCCTACCAGTTAGATTCAGAGTAATAGTTCAAAGCACAGTCAAGTTGAAATTGTGTATTTTTTTGTGGTCCAATCATTTACGCGTTGAACATGAACTTTGAGCATAAATCATTTGCTATTTATTTCCCCAAATGATATGCAGCATGTCTCGCTGCCAGCTGAACCTAAAGGTGAATTTCTCCCTACTAAGCAATTATTGTTTCAGGCTGAATGTTCAGAATGGATTTATAAAAATTAATGACAAAAAAATTCAGGAAAAGAAATATTCGCCAGAGTGATGGGAGACTGGCCCTGACTACCTTTAAGGGTGGTACAAGCAGAAACCCTTATAATGTTTAAGGAGTATTTAGATCTGCACTCATGATACCAAGGTATACAAGGCTAGGGGCCAGGTACTGGAAAATGGGATTAGAATAGTTGGGTGATTGCTTTTGATTGGCACAGACTTGATGGGCCAAAAGGCTTTTATTGGTGCTATAGATCTCTATATCCCAATGTTGGCAAGTTTTGCATTTACTACCTATCCCTAATTATCTTCGAGAAGGTGATGTTGACCTGTCTTTTGGAACTGTTGCAATCCATCTGGAGAAAGGGAGGAAAGGAGAGAACCGGGAGTCTAATCCAATGATGATGAAAGTACTTTGTTATGTTTCCAGGTGAGCACAGCATGTGACTCAGAGAGAGTCACTTTGAATGGCGTGTAACTCACGTACCTGCTGCCCCTTTGTTCTTTACATCATCAGAAGATGAGCCATGCACTGCAGAATTCTCACCCTTTCACCACAATAAGTTTTTATCCACTTTTGCAAATTTCAGAAGGAGAGGTTGGGAAATAATGACTTCAAAGGAGGCCCAGGGAAATGGCATGGTTTCTTAATAGAGTGTCAAGCATCCTCATACCTTGGACATATTCTCTTTTGACTTGGATTCCTCTTTCCACCAGACCTCCGTGCCAGGTTTAACACATGAAGACAAAGGCAGGAGGAGATTTTCTTGTTACTGCAGACTCTCTGTCTTAGAGACTGAACAGGGTTGGGGGGGATGGCTGCGCAACAAAGAAGGAGGAGGGAAGGACAAGGTGGCGGGGGAGGGGAAGGAGGGACAAGGTGGGGGGAAGGAGAATGTTTGTGGGGTGTGGCGGGGGGGGGGGGGGGGAGGTGGGAAGAGAGGAATAGAAAGAAAGATTGATAGAAAGAATAGAATGAATCCAGGGAGGCAGAAAGACAAGTGCAAGTGTGATTAGCAAGAAATAAGTGTTCTGTGTTCACCAGGCAGAATGCTGGTGGTGACCAGTTAAGGAAAGAGAACTGCTAGGAATTTAAAGCTCCATAAGATATTTTTCTGCATGACTGGGAGAAGTGAATCATTGGAATGAGGCATGCTTCTGGAGATCAGTTCACAACTTCTCAGAAGCCGGGGGAAGGGACCTTTGATGCTGAAAGGCAGAGAAGGGGACCTTTTGGAAACTGTGAGAGTAACCTTGGGCAGTATCTTTTAAAAACTATAAATTTTGCAACAGTATGATGTAAAGTTTAAAATGTGGGTATTAGAATATTAATCGTGTTGAGAAATTAATAGGGATTACATTCTATTGTTTTGCATATTGCTTATTAAGTAACGAATCATCAACGTTGCTTTTAAAATAAAGTTTTAACACTTGAAGACTTGTGTGATTCCTTTGAGTTGGTGAGTGCGAATTCAAATGTTGTTTTAAGTGTTCTTAGCCTGTTAGGGTATTAGTACAGTGCTGACTGATTCAGTGTCAGGTGTGATCAGTTGCATACTAAACATACAAGATACCATTAAAGAGGTCACTCCTACCCCTCAAATACCACTCCAAATTGGGGAATGCCTCTGATATGCCCAAAATAATTCCCTTATCCAGCTAATACGGATCGTACAAATAGAGTAACAGATGTAACTGAAATGATTGTGATGTTGAGAAATTAAATATCATAGTGCAGAAAAGGACCAAAACTGTTGGGAAGAAAAATTACATTCCAATAAAAATACAGGTAGTGGAACACTGTAGATGAAAGAAGAATACTCCAATCTGAAACGTAAAATTTAGGATGTCATCTGTCATGGAGCAGGCTATCACCAATATTTTCTGTTGTCTAATGGGTGAGAATGTTGTTGGAGAGAAACCTTTGAGAGTATTGTCATGACATCTGGTAAAGTAAAAACTGAACATACTAAAAGCTTCACAATAGTCGCTAGTGCAGTCTTGTAAATTTAGCACAGTACAACATGTTGTAAGTCACTGTAAATGTAATGTGGATGCCTGTGCTTGCCCTCAGGGAAGTGCCCCTGCTGTCAGTAGAGCACCATGAAAACTAAATCTACATTTCAACATCTACAGTGATAAATGCCACCCAATTAGAAGGTGAGACAATGAAAAAGGAGTTGTTCTCTTTCCTCTCCCGCAGTGGCCATTTTTCAAATGTGAAAATTCTGTTTAATTAGAGAGGTGATGATAGGTAAGTCTAATCTTGCCATCCTTTGGGGTCTTTGTACATGGACTAGTAGAGATCGGGGGGGCATGTAGAAGGTGGGAGGCATCCCTGACAGTTTTCCCTGTCCAATATAAGCTCACCGGTAGCATCCCAACAGTTGCACTTCACTAATCCGAGACAATCCCCATCCATAAACGTAGGGCATTAATCCACCAAAGGAAAGGTTTTAACTGTTTTACATAATAGCTATCTTTCCACAAATGCTGGAATAAAACACATTGTCAGCACTAAAACTACTCAATAAAACCATACTTACCTTGTAAGGATAGCTCCAATCACTTTGTCCAAAGGCAGTCATTGCACGGACCCTGAAGATGGTCTCAGAATTGGCTTTCAACTCAGTCTCAAAAGAAGAGGCATCTATTCCGGAAAACGTTACACCTCCTTGCGGCGGAGGTCCCTTATTATAACCCAACTCTTGCAATTGCACGTCAAAAGAATCCACAAGGTCATATTCTGGAACCATCCAAAAAACCTGGAAGAATTAATACACACAGTGTTTGCATAGTTTGTAATATGCCCTTGGCACAGGTTTCTGGGGTTTACCATTACACTTAGAAAGAAATCCCTTAATTTGAAAGGTAAATTAAACTGCAATCATTATCTTTGAAGTTGATCCTTTAATAAATTGCACAGTTGGATTTAAAATGTAACCCATTAATTACAAATGTCCTTTATTAAATTTTACAATATTCAGAAGTTTGAATCCTCAATGTATACATCATCCACCTTCTAGCAATTGAATGGCTACAGCCAATGTTGTTATTTAACCACATTCTTCTGGGAAACGTTAATTGGATAATGTTGAGAACATAGTTGACATATCTCTAAGCAAAGCTCCATGCTGAAATGATAACATTACAGTTGGTAGGTAAATTATTCAATTGTACATACTCAGACAGAGTGGAACACTTTTGATATGTTTTAACAAGGGTCAGCATGAAGCATCTCAGGTTGATAAAACCATACAGTACTGGTGCTTGAAGAATTCCTTTGCTTTTAAGCAACGCACTAGGGTTCATTTATAGAAAAAAATTATTTGAAAAGCAGCAAATTTATGATAAACCTATATTGAGCCTTGGATTAGATCAAACTTGGGTACAGTAAACTGTTCTGGTCTCCATATCAAGGTACTGGAGAAGGTGCAAGAAAAAGTTATGAGAATGATTCCAGATCTGAGAGGTGGTTTGGCCTATCATGATGGATTGAACAGGCTGGGGCTCATTGCTCTAGAAGGGAAAAAACTAAGGGGGTGATCCGAGTTTTCACAATGATGAAGAGTTTGACAAGTTGTTGAAAGGGAGCAGGTGGAAAGATGCTTTGAGTCAATTATCTTTGCACCAGCAGATTAAATTGCAATACAAACTCAGGACTTGCTTCAGTCATGAGCAATCTCATGCTCTCTTGAAAGACGACTCTCAGCATGAAGGCAATTTGTTAAAAGAAAAGAACAAAATGGATAATGTGCAAATACAAGATAAGGGAGAACAATGAACTTGGGCACAAAAATGGAAATTGCTGGCAAAGCTCAGCAGGTCTGACAGCATCCGGAGAGAATTCAGAGTTAATGTTTCGAGCCGAGTGACTCTTCCCTAGAACATCCGATTGACAGCATCCACAGTTCTTTCAGTTTTTATTTAGGAACTTGGGCAGACAGTTTAGAAAGTCTATGATATATATTTTGTAATAGTATAATGCCCAAAGAGTATGGTGTAACACCTGAAATGTATCTAAATCTGAAAAGAGTATGGCTACACTTGATTGCGGCCTGATTTTGTATGCCATGCTGAATTTAATACAGAGACCTAAGAAAAAATGCTTAGTTCAACCCCAGTAATTAATAAGCAATTGAACAGGAGCAAGATAGCATCAAACTAAACTTGTGGTTCTTGGAAGACTGGAAACGCGTGGCACTAGACTGAAGTGAATCTTGAAACATGAAGAATTCAATCTGAAAAACACCAGGAGGGGAGCTAGACCCCTCCCATTGTTGACAACCCACAGACCCAATAGCCCATTAAGACACAAAATAAAAAGCACGCGTGAACATTAAGTAAATCGGATAGGGAAAATAAGGCAAGTAAAAATTTACGTAGCATTATAAAATATTAGTGGCTTAAGCACGGATTTGACTAAACATACAGTCCTCAGCACCATTAGTCACTTGGATGGCGGGAGATTTTGTTGGGGGTAAAATGGCAGTATGCAGGAGACAGCTAATCCCCACGTAGGAGCTAGATTTAAAAAAAAAGCAAAAGGAAGGCATTAAGAATAGCTGTGTAATGAAGAAATTAAGAAGGTCTGTATAATTCTGAAGAAATACTTGATGCAATATGTAAAGTGTATCCGAATTTAAAGAGGGCATGACTATGTTTAATTGTACTTGATGTAACTTCACAGTAAGGTTAGCAATTGTCAAATAAGAAACTTTTGGTGTTGATAACTCACGTAGAAGTCACCTTCTAATTAATGAATAATTCAGCATGGTTTACAGAGATATTTCTATTTCCAGAGGAAACTAGTCTAGAGCCATAAATATAAAATATACAGGAATGAATCCAATGGGAAATTCAGGAGATAATTCTTTATTCAGAGAACGGATTCGAATGTGAAGTTTCATTTGTAGGGTAGATGATTTTTGTAGTTCTGGCCAACATTCTTCCTTCACCAAAAACACAAATTACTTGATCATTAATCATTGCTATTTGTGGATTATTTCTGCACAAAAATGGCTGTTAAATTCATACATAAAACTGGCTGCAGTACGCTGAATGTCACATATTTGGGAACTTGTGAAGTGTGATTTCTGTTTTTTCTGCCTTTAATTTATTTCTTTAATAAAGGATCTTCTCCCTTTATATTAATCTATCTTTTTAGTACTTTGCTAATCTATAACCCTCCAAAGCACTCCTGTGTGATGTGTTATCACCTCGTCACCCAAGGCGACTGGCTTCCTCAGTTTGGAACTTTGGACAATATCTCAAAGCTAACATAAAATCTCGTGGAAGACACATGAGAAATCAAAGAATTGATTAGTACCCAATTCAACATTCCATTCCATATCTTGCTAAGCTCTTTATGGGTGCTGAGTGAAGGGCACTACAGACATTAGAATTAGTTTGAGAAAAGTAAAATTGCTCTGAAAACCCTGCCAACATTGAATGGCTTTATCAATTCCTTTATGCTTTCATGTCACAGGTGTTAATATTGAGATGTTAATTTTCTTTTTCATATATCCTGTGGACCTAACATTGGGAAATAATGGATAGAGTTTTAATTTGTCTGTGGGGTGGGTATATGCGCAGAAAGCATGTTAAAACAACTGAAACAGCTGCCATACTGGGAAGTGGGAAAGAATGCACTGTGTTCCACCTTTAATTTAGCTCATTCTTCAGCATCTGGGAGACCCATGTGGAAATCGTAGGCCTGCCAACTGAAGTTGAAAAATTTAATACAGAATCCTGACTTTCCACTGTACACCCAAATTACATGGTATTTGTGGGACCTGCTGTGTAAAATAACATGACAGGACAATGGAAATTGACAGGATTGACCAATTGTTAAATTTAGAGCGAGACAGACTTTAAAAACATATTCGATGCTTGCTTCCTTGCCTTCGTGAAAGGTTTGTTGCACACAAGACATGTTCTGAGAACATGGACAACTTTAGAGGTGACCTCCAATAATTAGCAGGTTATTTCTGATACCTTGGACAATTTTTGCCTTCGATCTCCATTTGCCCGCAGCATGGGAGCAGCTTATGCCACTTTGGTTTAGAAGCATTTAGCTTGCAATCTACCTTGAGCCTCAGGAGAAGAACAAGATTGACAACAGTATAAATACTAACAATTGCAGCAACATTCTCCATAAATACTTGCTGCTGAACACAGCAAAGGATGAACAAAGAGTTCCAGCTCATGGAAAGCAATACCCCAACACAGCACCCCAGGTAATCCAAAAGTATCCATCAACTAAGAGGGTTTCCACTGTATTAACGATCAGCTGGTTGGCAGCCACTGAAAGATCATCATGTATTTCTATGCAATTTTCGCAGGGAACTCAGATGCATTCATCCTGTTCCTTTACATTTCTTTTTCTACTATTTCCACGTAGTGTTACCCTTTTGCTTCAGCAGAGCTAGAGGCAGGCTGCTCTGACAGTTGAGAGAGAGAGAGGAAGCCCACAGGGATCTACCAAAATCTGCTCACACTGTACCTGTGCACAACCAGACTCAGCCATCAGAACAGAAGGTAGCATGTGATGTTCTGGAATTGAGAGGGAGGTGGGCAAAGGGCAGGAGTGTGAGTGGACTGAATAGAATCCCCACTTCTATGTTGCTTTTTTGATACATTTTGTAGGATATGTGCATTGCTGGCTGGGTCAGCATTTGTTGCACATCACTAATTCTTTAAGGCGGTGGTGGTGAACCACCATCTTGAAGCGTTGCTGTCTATACGGCACAGATACATTCCATTGTGAAGCTGGAAAAGGGAGCTATAGGCCTTTGATCGCACAATTGCAAAGGAACAACAACAGAGTCCCATGTTAAGATGGTGCGTGGTTTGGAGGGGCACTTGCAGGTGGCAGTGTTCTCTCGTCCTTTTAGGTGAGAGAGAGATTGCGGTTTTGGAAGGCTCTGTCAAAGGAACCATACTGAGCTCTTTGTCCCTTTTCCCTGTCTTTGACCATCTATATTTTATTGCTGATCACAAGCTGGAGAAAATGTTGCTCCAAATCAGTGAGGCATGCTGAATGGTCAAACTGGGGCCTTCCTCAACCTTTTTAAAAAAAAACCCAAAGTGTTGGCCATGCATTTAGTTGGCTGCTGTATCTGATGCTTCATGTGACTCTTCCTTTTATCATAAACTTGGACAAGGCTGGAATTATCATGACATTTATGGCAGAGCTAACTCCTTCAATTTCTCTCCAATCATGCAGACTAAGCTTGGAAATGGTGACCCAATATTTTCTGCTGCTGCTGTAGAATAATCCTCTTCATTGTTGCCCCTAAGGTTCAACATCAGAGTCCAACTAAACAGAATCATAGAGTCATAGAGATGTACGGTGTGGAAACAGACCCTTCAGTTCAACTCGTCCATGCTGACCAGATATGCTAAGTTAATCTAGAACTTGCCAGAATCTGGCCCAGATCCTCCAAACCCTTCCTATTCAGATACTCATCCAGGTGCCTTTTAAATGTTGTAATTATACCAGTCTTCACCACTTCCTCTGGCAGCTCATCCCACATACATACCAACCTTCTGCATGAAAAAGATGCCCTTTAGGTCATTTTTGAACCTATTCCCTCTAGTTTTGAACTCCCCCATCACAGGGAAAAAGACCTTGGCTGTTCACGCTATACATGCCCATCATGATTTTATAAACCTCTATAAAGGTCATCCCTCAGCTTCTGATGCTCCAAGGAGAATAGACCCACCCTATTCAGTCTCTCCCTATAGCTCAAACCCTCCAACCTCGGCAACATCCTTGCAAACGTTTTCTGCACCTTTTACTAACATCCTTTCTATAGCAGTGAGAATAGAATTGAACACAGTATTCCAAAAGTGGTCTAACCAATGTCCTGTACAGCACATCATAACCTCCCAACTCGTACACTCAACGCACTGACCAAAAAAGACAAGCGTACCAAACACCTTTTTCACTACCTGTCTCCCTGCGACTTCACCAATGAACTACTGGATGATCCTGCATCTTTGGAAAACCACTTTCCACAGTAGTACCCGTCTACACTATCTATGCATGCTCACTTGTGATAATGCAATTCACCATGACCATCCTTGCGAGATTGTCATTCCTCAAAAAAAGATGTTGGGTTATAGCTGTTGATTCTTCAAGTATTATAGAAACTGTACAAAGTTATCTCCCAAAATCAGGTTCTGATAAGGCTGGATGGGATGTACGCCGAGAGTCTACAGGTATTTCCTTTAGTTAGAGAGTATTAAATTAGAAGGCATTGTCTCAGGATAAGCAGATAGTCCTTTCAGACTGAGACAGGAAATATTTCTTCATTGGTGAATCATTAAAATTCTTTATCACAGAAAGTTGTGAATGCACAGTCCCTAATTATACCCAGTGTTGTATGATATATCTTGAACTCAAAGAGAATCAAGGAATGTGAGAATGGCTGAGAAAATAGCATTGAGTTTGAGAATCAGTAATGATTTAGTTGAGTGAATGGTGAAGGTTCAATGGGTCAAATGGCTTACTCTTGTTCCTATTTTTTTAAAACATTCTTAGTTCTTGATCCATAATCTAGGGAATTCTTATACTTGTTGAAAGGTTAGAAGAATGAGATATGACCTGTAGAAACATACAAGATTCAAAGGGATCTCAACAGGTTAAGTACTGAGAAGACGTTTCCTCTTAATTCCCAACCCAATTCCCAATGTTTTTGATTTTTACGAGCCTTGTAAGTGTGCTGGCTAGTTTGGGTCACAAGTTTGAATCCAGCACTTCTGACCCAGATGGCCTCATTATGGAGATCAGCTTAGCCTGATCCTCTGCATTTTTCATGGTGTTGGGGCAGGTTTTCAAAGCGTCATGTTTCACTACATTTAAGTTATAAAAGCTCCTCCTCATTCTCCCATCCCAAGTTATTCCCCCACACTCATCCCAGGGACCTTCAATTCCCAAACTAAGCTATAGCAATTTCATATTTATTCACCCTCAATACACTAAATAATAACAATGTGGTGATTGAATTTGTAAAGTCAATAATCCATAATCAATAATTTTTATACTTATTACCTGCCAATAAAATGTGAATTATCCAAACCCTTTAAAGTATCAATAGCAGGAGCTACAAGCATGTAAACTTCTTTTAACTTTGCGTCAGTAAATATTGTGCAACTTGACAGCGTTAATCAAAAAGGCAGATTTGTTAATCAAACATTCTTTTCTCTTGGGCTCAGAGGTTCACAATTCTATCTGGACTCTCTGCCAACATTGCATACTGAATCTTAGCTTGAGGACATCTAAGTTACCAATACAACACCATTTAGCAAACCACTGTACAACTGCATCAGGATTTCCTTACTTTATTATTTCAGTAAATGTGCAATGAAAATGATCATACAATTCACTTTCTTGAAATCTTGCTATACCTTCATGTTAATACTATTTGATTCATGTAGATGTACAGCAAAATCCCTCTGAATCCTAACATTTTATAGTTTCTCACTATTTAATGAATAGTCTGCTTTTGCCATTCTTCCTACGAAAGTGGATAATTCCTTATTACTCCACAAAATATTTCGTCTTCCACCTTCATGTCCAATCACTTAATGCCTTTCTGAAATTGAGCCACGCAGTCTTATTCTCTGTTTTCTGGCTGTTTGCCAATCCTCAAAATAAGCTGACATATCAGCACTCCATCCCAATCCCATGAGCCCTACTGAAAATTCAAATAGACTACATCCACTACTTCCTCCTTGTTTAACCCCGCTAGTTAAATCTTCAAAAGCTAATAAATTTGTCAAACATGATTTCTGTTTCATCAAAAGATCTTTAGTCCATCTGTAGCATTTGAAATTGCATTTGCACCTTACCTTGGCTGTATTTCCTCGCACAATATGATGGTAAATAGTTGGCGGCACAAGTACATCAGGATTTGTCTCTCCTTGGCTTGTTTTTGACGTTTTGCTGTCTGCATCACGTTCACTTTCAAAGCTTGCAACACTTTCTTTCTGTTCTTGCTTAGTTTCAGTACTGTTTTCCTGGGACTCCTCTGACTGGGCCAGGATTCTTTCTGTCTCCTTAATCTCAGCTTGTCTATCCATAGGGACATTTATTTCTTTCTTCTTATCAATGGGGGATGCTTTGTGGTCTTTCAGCAATTCAAACTTTTTTGTAACTGGTGAAAAAATCTTATTCATTTGAGCTAAGATGTTTTCAAAATCTAATTTATATGGCTCAGTGGGGCTGGTCATTAGCTTGTGCCCAGATATATTAATATCTGCCACTTTCATCCTCAGCTGTTCTATCAAATGGCTAACAGTTTGCAGAAGGACAAACTGATTCATTTCCTTTACTGCTTCCTTGGCATACTGGATTAAACCTTCCGTACCTAACACATCTTTAGCTGTTGCTTCCATGTAACGGTTTATGTTCGCTATCCTAAGATTCAACTCATTTTCATATATTTCTTTAACCTGGGTCTCTTTCTGTTTGAGTTGATCATGTAAGAGTGTAAATCCATTAGACACCTCCTTCTGAAACTCAGCTCTATTCTCTTGAAGCTTGGATTTGAAAATGCTCAGCCTCAGCATATCATTTTCACTTTCATCTTTAACTGAAAGACAAAATAAATACATTTACACAGCAGGTTAGAAAAAAAGTGCTTGAATTCAGTATAACAAGGATTGTGTGTGAATGCAAATCTATTAATAAATTCCCATTTATTAACATACATTTTTAATCCAAGTAGTGCTCAAACCTAGACAGTAGACATACCTCTGGCAGTTCCAGCATGGACTACAATATTGTTTAAGGTCCAGAAAATTTAGCTCAGCTAAGACAGAAGCAGCTCTCAACTCTCTAACCTCAATAAAATTTTGACAATTGCTGGAAGACAGTTCCTGGATCCGATTATCAATGTGGTCACAGACATACTCGGAATCTAAGCTGCTGAAATAACTCCACCCCCTCCTCTTCATAAGGTAGAGAAGGATCTGTCTCACAGGATATGCGTTGTACAAGTATCATCATGTTCTCGAAGAGCAGAGGCAAACCAGGTGATTGCAGCAACTACGGGGGGCATCTTAGTCCTCAGCATCACAATGAAGATGTTTGCCGAAGTGATTCTTGTGTGACTGCATTCAAAAGACTACCAGAAACCAGGCACTTGCTCAGCACCAGGCAGGAGAGGACCCTGTGGCGTCACCAATTAGGGACTTTGTCAAGTTGCACAAGGAGGAACAGGAGTGACAGAGTTATGTGGGAAGCAATGGCCCTCATAGCCTAGAGACTGCATGGTTGCAGCTATCTTTGGGGACTCCTCAACCATTCAATTGCATGGCTGCCTCAATGGACAGTTTAGTAGTGAACATGGAGAACCAGATGCAGCACCCTCAGAGCCTGCTGGACATGCACACAGACCTGGACTTCATTACCCTGGCTATTACGCCTTACGATGGAAGGTATGGGGAGGATAGGAAGTCTTGAGATCATTCCAGGTGATCTTTCCTCAAGGCAGCAGGGTGGTGCCAGGAGGTTAGAGGAAGAACAACACATAGGCCCCTCAAAAGTCTCCTTTCTGGACACTGCAGAAATGATTAGACCCTCCATCTCCACTATGTCTCCAAAATGCCCCCCCACCACCAATGGGTCCTCCCTGGCAAGAAGACCCTCAGCATGTCTAGTCCACCTGGACAAATGCCTGAGGTTGTCCAACTAAACCTGCAGGGCCAAACTGCTGAGAAGGCTCCTCCTACCGCACGGTGTGCAATGAAGCGAAGTGTCGGAGCTTTCTGCAGCATCTGGAAGGAAGATGACAAGGCGTATACAAGGCAAGGGGTTCTGCTGGCAACACTGCCCCTCTTGGTCAAACATCACTTGTCTTTCTCTGGCCTGTGAGTTTGAGTTCGATTTATTGCTGTCACATGTACCGAGATGCAGTGAAGCGTTGTTTTCTGTACTATACAGGCAGATTGTACCATACAAAGTGCATCAGCGTAACAGAACAGAATGTTACAGCTGCAGAGAAGGTACAGAGAGAGAGAGAGAGAGAGAGAGAGATCAAAATTAACATTGGAGAGGTCCATTCAAAATTAGTCCTAAATTATGTGGTCTGTAATGTCTTGGGCAGAGGGGTGCACAGCACTCAAATGAGACAATGTATTGGGGATGCAAAGAATTGGGACCTATTGTGTCCTTTACACTGCAGGGGTCTGTGTGTGATGTTATCACCCTTTGAAGTTCCTCACATTGTTCAGTCTTGAGGTACCTAGGAGTCCTCATCCACAGATGACAAAAAGCTAGCATCCAAGTTCAGCGAGTAATAAAAGGAAGGCAAATGAAATGTTTGGCTTTATTTCTAAGGGAATGGAGTATAAAAATGGGGAGCTTTTGCTAAATCTAGTACTAGTCAAACAACAACTGGAACATTGAGAAACAGTTTTTAGGTTTTTTTACCTAAGGAAAGATATATTCCCACTGAAGGCAATCATGGGAAGATTTACTAGGCTGATGCAAGGATTGTCTTATGAGGAGTGGTTGAGAAGAATGGACCTGGACTTACTGGAATATAGAATGAAAATTGGACTGATTGTAACACAGCATATTCTCAGAACTCATTTCCCCTTCTAGAAGAGTCTAGGCCAGAGGTCATAATCTCAGAACAAAGCGTCGCACATTTAAGATAAAGATGAAGAGGAATTTCTTCTTTCAGAGGGTTATGAATCATGAAATTCTTTACCACAGAGTTGTAAATATATTCCAAGTTGTGATAGACAGATTTTTAATCAGTCAGGGAATTAATGGTTACAGGGAAAAGGCAGTCAAGAAGTGAAGTTGAGGATTATCAGTTCAGCCATGATCTCATTGAATGGTAGAATTGTAGCAGGAATAGGCTATTCAGCCTCTCTTGCGGTATTCCGGCTTAGAAGATCCAAAGTTAGAGGCAAAATAAAAACTGCAGATGCTGGAATCCAAGATAGACAAACAGAAGACTGGAAGAACGCAGGAGGCCAGGCAGCATCTGGAGGAAAAGGAGAAGTCAATGTTTCGGCTATTATCCTTCTTCAGGAAGAAGAAATGTAATACCTGAAACGTTGGCTTCTCCTTTCCTCCAGATGCTGCCTGGCCTGCTGTGTTCTTCCAGCCTCCTGTATGTCTACCTAGAAGATCCAAAGCCTCTATAACAAGCTACCTAGATAATGCAAATATACATTAAAAGTGGTTGGGTAAGGAGAGGCTAGTGTGTGCAAGTAGGTGGGAGGGGTAAGGATGACCAATAAGTTGGTGATGGCGTGAATGGCAAGGGTGCAGGGTGGGTTGGGGGAGTTTTGGATGCTTTGGCTCAGTGTGGTATCAGATTGGCTTGTGTCAGGGTGATCATAATCACATGGTGTTGGGTCATGGGGGCCTCAGGGTAGGCCAAGAGGTATTTTGTTCACTTGGTTGGGTCAGGGTGTGGGGGGGGGCGGGGGGAGATGGTGGCGAGAGCTCAGTGTTGTCAGTTTGGGAGAGTGTCAAGTCAGCGGGTATCAAATTGGGGGTGTTCAGTTCAAGTCATGTTTGGGGGAGTGTCAGGGCTGTTGATTTGAGGGAGGTGGTCAGGCCAGGATGAGCTAGGAAAAGAGACTCATGGGTTCGTGGGGATAGCAGTGGGGAATAGTCTGTGGTGAGTTAGGGGTGTCAGTTTTAGAGATAGTCAAGAGTTGGAGGAGGTTTTTAAATTTCTCCTAAAACTTTCAGGTAAATAAGACAGAACTCTCCAAGTTCGTCACGTCTAATTCAAATTTGTAGTATTTTTCAGGAAGGATTCCAGACAGAGGGCAATTGCCTGCTGAAAGTTCAGACTTTTTGGACGATTCCTGGGTGTGGTGGGTTCATTATGACTCGTGTGGTCCTATTGCACATCTTTAAGGATACATTGCTGCAATAACTGTCTTCTAATCAGAGGATTTGGGCCAACATCAACCACCACCAATGGGAAATGTTTCTCTGAACCAAATACATTTTCAGAAATGACACCTACCTTTGCCATATTTTGCAATAATGTGAAATAGATGAATTGATTGGTCCTTGAATGCCTCTTGCAAGGTACTCGTTGGATGATCTTTGTGTTTTTCTTTACTACATTCATCACATATTGGAATCTTGTCAGACAAACAAAACATTGACAGGTTTGAATCAGGATGGTAGAAACACTTCATTAGCGGCTCCCCACCTGAAGGATCGCGCAAATTATGGTCCGTGTAAGTTTGGTCATGTTGTTTTAAACAATCCCTGCAGAAATTTAAATCACAGGTTTCACATTTCTTGATTGCAATCTGTTTATTTTTCGATTCACAAAGTTGGCAATAAGGTTGTCTTCCGGTTGATTTACTCTTTGATGATTTCTTGCGCCGGTTTTGCAACCTATTTAGCACCTCATTGAGCAGGAAGTTCTCAGGGAATTTGACTCTTTCAGTGCTGGCAAAATAATGATTCTCGAGACAGACTGGGCATGTGACAATAGCATGTTTCTTTAGACCACTGTTGGATATTGTCTTTTGTCTTGGAATGCAGTGTTCACATATGTTGTGATTGCACGGCAGTAACTGCGCTTTAAAGTACAGCTTCCTACAGACTGGGCAAGTTAGTTCGTCATATATTGGTGGTTTTAATTGTTTCTTTTTGCGTTTAAAATACAGACCTTGTGAATTACTTGGGCTGGAAAGAAAAACAAAGAGACATTTCATTTGAAATATTCATTAAATTGATTATTGCATCCGAGATTAAAGACTTCAGTGATTCTTTTTCCTTTGGGGCTGAAATCCATACACCCATAAACTATAAAATAATCGATCTTTATTCTTTATAAAACATAGGAAAGTGATGTTCTATTGTTGCGAAGTATGTTAACCACAGCAATGATTCACATGACTCTCATAATGAAGGAAATCAGGTTCAATCCAAATGCCTTCTAAAAATAAAAGGCGACTAAACTGGTACAATAGGTTTATCCAGCTGTCTGGCACTAATGAGCCAAACTAATTGAAAATTTCCACTTTCTGGAAGCTGCAAGGGTCTTATTTATATTACATAAGTCAAATAAGCTTTTTGTCATTCCCAGCTCAGCTTCCAATCGGATGAATCCATGTCACATTCTTGTCCAAAAGCAAATAAAATTCGTTAATCACACTAAGGAGAACGTTCAGAGGAAGTCAGATCGGTTGTGAAAAAATTCTTCTCAGTGCAATGGAGGAATACTTTTCTGAAGTTGAAATAAAGACTTCACCATGCTAGGGCAGAACATCCAAAACATTTTGTCTTTTTCTTCCCCCCTCTGAGTATATTAAAGAAAGGAGGAGGAATTTGTATAACATCTTCATGACCTTGGGGTGATCCACAGAATTTTGCAGCAAGTAAATCATTTTTTTCCCCAAAAGCAATATCGGCTTTGTATGTGAAACATGGTAGTTTTTAACAGCAGTAATAAATGATTAGGTAATCTGATGTTTGATGGCCTTGGTTAAAGGATGAATAACATAAGATAAACTCATTTTTATAACCAGATTAACACAGTGAGACCTTTTACATCCAGCGGAGGGGCAGGACAGGGACTCAGTTTACTATCTCATTTGTAAAACAACTCCAAAGGATTAGTTGATCATGTAGTTACTGTACTTTAGTGATTGTATACAGGTAAAGGATGGGGCTTGAGACCACATTTGCCCGACTTAAGTGTGAAAGTGCTACCACTGAGCAATTGAAAAAAAATTTGTTTCTTGTTTAATTTTCTCTGTGCAAAAAACGTAAAAAATTAAGACATCTTACAGATGAGATATTAAGCCAAGGTCCAATGTGTTCCCTCAGCTAGACAGAAAAGATCACGCTTCTTTGAAGAAGAACAGGAGAGTGCCCCATTTAAACTTGTGAACTAGTTAATTGTGTTTAATTAACACATTGATAGCTTCATAGTTGCATAGCACACATCAAACCTAAGGCATTCATAGAATAGTTATCAGGGTGTGAGGGATAAAGATAGGCCACAGAACCTGAGCGTCATGAACATCCACCACCCCCCCCCCGCCCGCTGAAACATACACACACACTAATATTGCATTAGAAAAAAAACATAAGGAAGTTACCAAAAACATTGTTGAAGGCATTAGACATTGTTTATTTGGATTTTAGTAAAGCCTTTGACAAGGCTCTGCACGGTACAGAATTAGTAGTTAGATCACATGGGATTCAGGGTGAGCTTGCCAATTGGATACAGAATTGGCTTAACAGCAGGAGACAGTGTGATAGTGGAGAATTGCTTATTGGACTGAAGGTTCATCACCAGCAGTGTGCCACATGGATTGGATCTGGGTCCTCTTTTGTTTGTCATTTATAAAAATGATTTGGAGGAGAATACAAAATGCAGCGTTAGTAAGGTTTGCAGACAACACCAAAATTGGTGGCATAGTAGACAGTGAAGAAGGTTTTCTAAGATTACATCGAGATCTTGATCAAATGGGTCAATTGGCTGAAATATAGCAGATGGAGTTCAATCTGGATAAATGCGAGGTATTGTATTTTAATAAAACAAACAGGGGCAGGGCTTATACAATTATTGGTAGGGCCTTGGGTAGTGTTGTAGAACAGAGGGACCTAGGGGTCCACGTACAGGTAGACAGGATGGTTTAAAAGGTGTTTAGCATGCTTACCTTCATTGCTCAATCCTTTGAGTATAGGAGTTGGGAAGTCACGTTGAGGTTGTACAGGACATTGGTGAGGCCTATTCTGGAGTACTGTGTCCAGTTCTGGTAGCCCAGTTATAAGGAGGATATTATTAAGCTAGAGAGGGTTCAGAAGAGATTCATCAGGATGTTGTTGGGTATGAAAAGTTTGAGTTATGAAGAAAGACTGGATAGGCTGGAACATTCCTCCACTGGTTTATAGAAGTTTATGATATCATAAGGGGCATAGATAGGTTTAATGGTATGCATCTTGTCCCTAGGATAGGAGATTTCAAGATTAGGGGTCATATTTTTAAGGTGAGAGGAGAGATATTAAGAAAGACATGAGGGACTTTTTTTTTGTACAGAGGGTGGTTCATGTGTGGAAGAAACATCCTGAGGAAGTGGTGGATGTGGGCACAGTTACAACGTTTAAAAAACACTTAAATTAAGTGCAAGAATAAGAAGGGTGTGGTGGGATATAGCCCAGGAGCAGGCAAGTGGAACTAGTTTAGTTTGTGATTATGTTTGGTATGGACTGGTTAGATCGAAGGGTCTATTTCCGTGCAGTATGACTGTGTAGCTTAAACTGCAAAAGAAAATTAAGGTTCACCAGGAATTTGAATGCATTCCTATGGCACACGATTACATGTATTTTTTTTCTAAACATGGCCTCCATGGGCTGGAATGGGATTAGGAACTTGCACAATGAGAATCAACAGCAAAGACGTGCATCCAACCGTCATGTGTTGTATAGCGTATGACTCCACCCATTCTACTTGACATCACACAGTCTGTGGGTGAAAACAAGGTATTCTGCTCAAGCTTTTGGAGGGATCAGATGTACCTGAACTAGCTCCTTAATATCCTAGTCAAACATAGTTATACTTATTGCTACTAAGTAGTAAATCATAGAGCAGAGTCTCTTCTATAGGTACTTCATGATATTGTATCCTCTGCAATTATCACTGGATAAAGCAAAGAGAAAGGCAAAGGCAGTGAACTATCTCAAACAATCCGGATGCAGTATCACATACTAGTTGCAATAGCAAATATCTCAAGGTACCAAGCATGGTCAACTAGAAATATGTCATATGTTTGCACACAGAAGCAGCATGTTATCATCCGTAATGATGATAAAGAAAGAAAAGCATACATTTATATTGCAACTTTCACAACTTCAAGATGTTCCAAAAGACTTTACACCCAAGAAAATATTTTAAATATGGTTGCAATGTAGAAGCACTGGCTACCAATTAATCCATAACAAGGATCCACCAAACTGTAATGTTATCATAACCTGATAACTCTGCTGTTAGCAATTTTGTTTTAGGGATAGTATGGGCATCACTGCTGGAAGATCAAAAACATTTCAGTAAAGTGAGAGGTAAAAAAGTGATCAATGGCTTACAACAATCTCAGAATCAGACTTACTTCTAACTGGGAAAACTATTATTGGGTAAACTGCCAATGTTCATTTTAGGGAAGACATTTCATAACAATTCAAAACTCACCAATTTCACGGGCTGCTGGATTCAATGAAAAAAGGGTCCTTTCACATCTGCCACATTTGAAGTGAGAATTAGATAAGAGTCTCATGGTGAACAGAGTCTATGAGCACTGAGACCATATTGCCCTTTTGGAAATGCCAATGGGCTCTTCCCCTCAGATCAAACCATTCAAGTCCTAGAATCATTGCACAAGTGAAGGCAGGAGGGGGTTTTGTGAGGAGAGGCCAGCATCCCTTAATCTGGTACTGCATGCCCTTGAATGAAGAACCCTTCCCAGGAGCCTGCAACTAACCCTGCGTGGGTTTACATGTCATTTTCCCCATATGACAAGTCTCTCAATCTGCTGCTGGATTAACACCAGTGGTTTCACGTTGAAATTGTTCATTGTGCATTAATTGCTCTTGATGGGCAATGGGACAGGAAGGCCGTCCACAAGCCTTATCTCCACAGACTTGATTAGGATGGATATAAGGAGGTACTGAGGTCTTGTCACTCTCCTGCTTGATTAAAATGTGCCTCAGCTGTTAAACCTGCCACTGGGAATGATGCAGGTTATCCTCTATAGTATCAGAGTTAGTGAGCTCACATTGTGTTAACATCTCGATCTATCTTAGACAATTTGAAGTATTCTACTTTCAAGTGAAAAATGACATATCCTTTTGTGTATTTCTACAATTCTGAAAAATAAGTTGTATTTTCACAACTACTGTTTGTATAATACAATTGAAAAAGTACATAGAAGGATATCAACAGCACAATTTGTACCAGTAATTTTGGCCATTAAAAATTTTTAAAAAGTGTGGTAAACCGCATTTTTATTGCCAAAAACCCTGGATTTTTCTTGTTTGAATTCCTTGTCTTCGTATTGTTTTCTACAGAAATCATAAGCTAGGTGCCTTGAAACAAACAGTGTACTGTGCAATTACTTACTGAATGTGAAAATTTTGAATTGGGGCAAATCACACAAAGTAATATTCAAATCTGTATGTACTGGAATTAAACTTGTGGTTTATAAAAATAAATTCTATTTTTCTAATTGAAAAGATTCATTGATTAACATAAGCTGCTACTTACTAACAAATTTCTTTGTCATCATATGCAGACTTCCAACAAAAATAGTTGGTAGCACTGTCCCAACGAAGCATTGACCCTTCCACTGATTTTGATGGCATACTTCTCTCACCTGCTGCTAGTTTATTAGCACCTGGTGTTTCTCTGACTAATATCGACGACTCACTATTTTCAACAGCCCTACCATCCAGAAGTGACCATTTGCTAAATTCTCCTTCAACTTTTGTTTCCTTTACTTCCTTTTCATCTTTCATCATTTCTCTCCTATTACTTCCCATAATTCCTTTAATATAGTCCTCATTGTCAAACCCTACTGAACTTCTGGATGCTATTACAGGATCTGTCAAGACACGATTAACTCCTCTGCTGCTCTCAGCTGTTGCATGCTTGTCTGCCCCCTGATTCTTGTGCCATGGATTCATCTCCAGTGGATATGGGGCTAACTGTAGAAGAAGCAAGTAAGCACTACACTAAATGTCAGTTAGTTATGAACTCCAACTCTCCTTCATTAACACCAGTAATTCTTAAACCACTAGCTGCCAAAATGGAATTTACAGTACTGCGCAATAATGGCAGATAGCTTGTCAGCAATCTAATTGGTATCACCAGTAATTTCTCAAAATGCCTGGAGTCCACAACAACCTAAACCTTGCTTATGTGGCCCTCCAGTCCCTTGCCCAATTCATTACACACTGACCACTAGGGGTGCAAACATCACAGAATGTGTGACATCACAAACTAGCTGCAAAACTAAAACATGTATCACTAAGTTTATGACATCACAAACATGGCATCAAGGAAATAAAATTAAAATAACCTGGATGCTAGAAATATGAAACAACCTCAGAAAATGGTGGAGAAACTCAATAGTTTTGGCAGCGTCTGTGGAGAGAAAAAGACTTGTATTGGGTTGGAAATTACTCTTCAGAATTCATGGAAGACAGACTAAAGGGCTAAAACATTGCTCAGGCCAATCACTGAGATTGAAAAATCACAAATATAAATGGGGCAGGCCAGCATCCTGCTTAATTCATCCGCTGAAACATCAAATTGTTACTAAAGTAACTTCAAGGTCTTACATTACTCCAATCAGCACTTTTAAAACATTCTACAATTTTACAAAAAAGTGCCACAGCTGCCTGGCCATCATTGTGGACAGATGCAATGAGGGATGGACTTGTAGCTGGTTGAAACATGGTTACTCATTCCTGTCAGGGAAACACTGGTTGTGTTTCAGCTGCTGTGAGGGATCCACCTACTGATTGGGGAATTCAGCAGCGAGCTGTTTCATCACCAACCCAGCCTTCCCTAGAATGATTCAGGGGCAGGATGGTGCTAATGGTCTGGCCTGTGGCATGAAATTACACAACCCACTTGTAGCTCCCCCAGTTCATTCCAATTAGCCAAAGAATCAGCCTTGAAGTTCCTTCTTACATCAGTGGTGGACAAATTATTGGAAAAGGCCCTGAGAGATAGGATTTATGATCACTTGGAAAGGCACAGTTTGATTCGTGATAGTCAGCATGGATTTGTGAGGGGTAGATCATGCCTCACAAACCTTATTGAATTCTTTGAAGAGGTGACCAAACACGTGGATGAAGGTAGAGCAGTGGATGTGGTATACATGGATTTAAGTAAGGCGTTTGATAAGGTTTCCGATGGTAGGCTCATGCAGAAAGTAAGGAGGCATGGGATAGGGGGAAATGTGGCAGATTGGATTCAGAATTGGCTGACCCTTAGAAGACAAAGGGTGGTAGTGGAAGGAAAATATTCAACATGGTGCTCAGTTACGAGTGGTGTACCACAAGGATCTGTCCTGGGTCCTCTTCTATTTGTGATTTTTGTAAATGATTTGGATGAAGGAGTGGAAGGGTGGATTAGCAAGTTTGCGGGCGATACGAAGGTGGGTCGTGTTGTGGACAGTGCGGAGGGCTGTTCTAGGTTACAAAGGGACATTGATAAGATGCAGAGCTGGGCTGAGAAGTGGCAGATGGAGTTTAACCCTGAAAAGTGTGACGTGATTCATTTTGGAAGGACAAACTTGAAAGCAGAATACAGGGTTAACAGAAAGATTCTTGGAGGAGCAGAAGGATCTTGGGGTTCATGTTCACAGTTCGCTGAAAGCTGCCACCCAGGTGGATAGAGTTGTTAAGAAGGTGTATGGTGTGTTAGCTTTCATTAATAGAGGGATTGAGTTCAACAGCCGTGAAGTTATACTCCAGCTATACAAAGGCTTGGCTCGGCCACATCTGGAGTATTGTGTCCAGTTCTGGTCGCCCCATTACAGGAAAGATGTGGAGGCATTGAAAAAGGTGCAGAGAAGATTTGCCAGGATGTTGCCTGGAATGGAGGGAAGGTCTTATGAGGAAAGGATGAGAGGTGACTTGATAGAGGTGTACAAAATGATCAGAGGTATAGATAGAGTGGACAGCCAGAGACCTTTTCTGAGGGTGGAGGTAGCTATAACGAGGGGGCATAGTTTTAAAGTGAGTGGAGGTAGATATAGGGGAGAGATCAGAGGTAGGTTCTTTACTCAGAGTGGTAGGGGCGTGGAATGCATTGCCAGAGAGGGTAGTTGAGTCGGTCTCATTAGGGGCATTTAAGTGGCTATTAGATAGGCATATGGATGATAGTATAAGGTAGGAGTGGAGGTTAGATAGACCTTAGGATTAAGGTAAAAGTTCGGCACAACATCGTGGGTCGAAGGGCCTGTACTGTGCTGTACTGTTCTATGTTCTATGTTCTCGATGTGTGCAGTACTTAAAGGTTTTAGTTACATCCTGGTGACCAGAAAAGAACGTAATTCTTAGAACATAGCACTATACAAGTTTGGATAGGGGTTTAATTTTGCTATTTTGGTTTGGTAATTCAGTGTTTTATTTGCTTTGTTTGTTAATGCTTTCAGATCATTGGATATATAAGTCTTGAGATTCCACACAGTCAGTGTTATGCAGAGGTGTAAGTACCGTAATTTGCAGGATCATCTTATTCAAATCCTGTGCAAAATTTAAGTTTTGAGTTGCAGGTAGTTATGTTCTTCTCGTCAAGTGCTAATCACGTGACAAGGATTGGTGAAACAATAACGTATGCTCTTTATTTGAAGTTAAGAATAAATGCAAATAATGCTCATTAGGAGGCTAAGTATGTGTGTCTAACTCTCACACCTCCTCTGGACTGAATACAAGTCATGGGACTAATGTCTGACATCTTATTGAAATTGCAGTGGGTGACAGCAATACAGATATATCACCTTAAAGGTATATATGTCATCAATTATAATGCTACCTTTTAATAATCTGTTTAAAGTATCTTTTTAATACTTTAATAAGTATTCATAACTGCCTCTGCCATTGAAGATAACTATTAAGAGTGTGAAATATCATTCTTTGATATCTCAATTACTGTTGAGACTAGAAAAAAATAAAATTGAATTATTTTCTTTATTCTTTTTTGTCTCTCTCTTATCTTAATGTTTCTTGCCCTTTAGTTTAGTGACTTCTATACCCAATTTGACACTGGATTATATATTCAAATTTGCTTTTTTTTTTGTTAGTCCCTGTGCTGCTCATGAATGATTCTTTAATCCAGATTAACAAGAAAATATACAGTTCACACAGGTCCCAAATATTCTGTAGATGATATTTTATTAATGGCTGTTTGACAATTTCCAATGCAAAAACCCATTGCTAGTTGATTTTGCTGCATTTGCCCATTACAGAATCTGTTTCTGTGCTAGGTTTACTTGGAAAATATGATCGACTAATAAACCTATAAATTATTTGTCGCTCCAGGTGAGGCAGTGAGGAGCACAAAAATCCAAATGCCACTTTCCAGTACTCTAATACCTCTTCTGCATCTCAAGCAGATTTTGGCAAGCTGTTCTGCGATCTCCCTTTCTCTTCAAACCTGGGTCACAATCTATCCAGGCAGGAGATTTAACACTAAGTATAGCCAACCTTCCCTGTACATTCATTATCACCACCAGCTTTGCTTGCATCAACATTTTGTCAGCATCGTCTATTGTAAACACAATAGTAAAGTACTCATTAATTATCCTAGCTATGCTCTGAAACTACTAAAACTCAACCCCTGTTGCTTCCTATTTACTATTTGCAATAGAAGATTTTCGGGTTATCTTTTATGTTAACTGCTTTCTGTTCCCATATTCTCTCTTTGTTAGCATTATTTTCCACTTCCCATCTCAACGTATTGAATTCGGCTTGGTTCCTGCTCCAAGAATTTGTCCGATGTGCATCACACCCTGTCTTTTTAATTATTTCATTATAATCTCCATTTCCCTTATCAGCCAAGGAGTCCTGGGAAAAGGAGGTGCGTAATAAAGACCAGGTAACTGCCAAATTTAAACCATACCAGAAGTGCAGTGGTGGATGTGGATGAAGAATTCAGTTGTGATGATCCCATAGATAACAGCATGTTAACACCAAATATCCCTATCAACACATGTAGACATGCGACTTGGACAAAGTAAGTTCATTAAGTAATACCTTAACTAAGAGTTAAGACCTTTAGAAGAGAAGGAAATGAAGAGGAAAAATCAGTGCAAGTGGGAAAAGGATATTCAAAAAATATATCTTCCTGATAATTATTTATTGTCTTTTTCATGTTTGGCCACTTGATGGCGAATGTAGCAAAGCATACAAATTTTGTCAATGGAAGTGATTTTCTATTAATGTTACTGCAGATTTGTCAAACTCAATGGTTAGTTCGGGTTGCTGAATCACCATTGACCAGAAACTTTACTGCACAGCCACTTTTATGCTGCTAATACCAAAGCAGGTCTGCGTCTGGAGGTTCTATGGTGAGTGACTAGCCTCCTGATCCACAAAGCCTGTCCACTATGCACAAGGTGTAAGTCAGGAAGGTGAAGGAGTACACTGCTGCTCCTGCATATCGGTGGTGGAGGGAGTGGATGCTTGTGGATGTAGTGCCAATCAAGCGGGCACCTTTTTCATAGAGTCTGAGAGCAATACAGCATGGAAACAGACCCTTCAGTTCAACTTGTCCATGTCGACCAGATTTCTGAAGTTAACCTAGTTCCGTTTGCCAGCATTTGGCCCATACTCCTCTAAATGCTTCCT